GCGTTCGTCGTTGCTAAAGCACCCTTTTTGAAAGAGGAATACGCGCATTAAACAAAAACAACCTTCTCATAAACAAGCAGTTAGTGTAGTTTCTTATCCTTTTCAGAACATGTCTTTAAGAATCCAATAGCACCGTTCAAAGAGTCAATCAAGAGGGGACGATCTATCCTTTTTTACAATTCAAATCGCCAGAGGCTGGCGATTTTTCGCCATTGCATGCATTTCTGGACATACATGTCCTTTTTGTCTTCCTTTTATTGGTTTGTTTGCTTTTATTCATGACTAGAATATATAGTTTTCATTAAAGAAGAAATTTACAGTAGAAGAAACCATCGGGGCATCTGTTCAATTTATTAAAAAAGCACTTGTTGCCACTCTTAACATGTTCATAAGCTGGCAATCTTAAATAAAAAGTACCCCGCTTCGATTCACCTCTGCCATTAGATGCTGGGGCTAACCAAACTGAAGTGAAGGGGAAATTAAAAAGCCGCGCTCTTCCTTGTCTGGTGACGACAGGCCTTAAGAAATGCTGGTGGATCAAATAGCAGATTCTAGCTTATTCACTGAAAGAATTCCCTCAATATTCTCATGACAAAGTTTTCAAGGTTTTTGTGCGCCCTGACAACAGAACTGAGGGAATCATCTGGAAGATATCTGGTCAACACTGAATGAAGATGGCCGAACACTAATGCATCCAGCTCTGTTGGTCTACAGTGATTAAAGAAAGAAAAATAGAATCAAACGTCTATAAACAGGTGCACTAAAAGAGGAGTGTTTGGGTAATTGGTCGAAATGGGCAATGTACTGTTTGAACAGTATACGATTTCTCCTACAAAATTTCCAATCAGAATTAGACACGAAAAAATTAAATCATCATCAAAGACATGCAGCTTAGATGTGTGGAGAATATGATAATGGATCTTCTGAAGGAGATATAAAAGAGATGGAAAAATCAATAAAAACCATTAATTCTCTGTTCATGAGTCTCTGCTAGCAAGGGAGTTTCTTATAATTATTTAAAAAAGTAGATCCAGGTTCTACAATACAAATGAGTGGTTTCTAAGCTGTTGATAACGTCTGTCTATTTGAAATACTTATGGCAACCCTCTGTTAACCCGTTAAGCCCCAATATCCACATACAAATTCTCCAGACTACTCTTGATAGATCGATTATCTTAAAGAATTAGTCAAGAGAATTTGTTGGAAAATCAAAGAATTTTATACTTTTCAAGGTGATCATTTTTTTTAATTCTCATACCCTTTTCTCTTAATTTTGTACTGATATCGTTGGCGGGAAAACTAATTTTGGTCACTCTCATCGTTTCCCATTGCTCGATGAAAAGCGGCGGTATTCTTACCTATCATTTATAAAGAACCTATTGTTTCCCAACTTTTCAGAAAGAGCTTGACATGTCCGTCGAAACTCCTCAAGAACCTATAAAATTAAACCAAAGCACACAGTCTGGACCAACAGTTTTCAATTAGAATATTTTCAAACAGAATATCGGTTTGCCACATTTGTACACTTGGGAATGCATGCATTTCATTTTTGAATTATCGGAACAAATCTTTATTAGATTTAGTGACAAAAGTGAACATGTGACTTTTTTATTAACTAATCGCGATGTTGTAATGCAGCAAAATAACTCGTTTTAATTTTCATTGTTTTTCTTTACATATCTAGCCGGATTTTTGACAACGTTACCGCCATATGGAGCTTTTGCGTCCAACACTTTTTTCCCGGCCAAAGTAGCCATTATAAAAGCTAAGAATGTAACCATTGCTCTTTTCTCTTCACCTCCTTACTTCCTCTTCGCTCTTTCTTTTTCCTTCGTTAGTGTGTTTTTAAAGCTTATAGAGCCCAAAGCACCTGCCTTTTTACGCCTTTTCACTCAAATGACTGGAATTTTCGATAGCTTGGTTTTCAAAAAATCGGCTAGATATACATGTACATATATACCTTAGGCTTAGTAAAATATTATATTCTTTTAATTCTTCTTTTAATAATAGTTTTTATCACATGAGGTATCCTGAAGTGATATGATAAACTTACCTTATCTTATCTTATCTTATACGGCGCATAGCTGGACTTTTAAAAGGGATGCTCGTTTTGAAACTGAAAGCCAAATGCTGACTGAGCAATTATAAAGAAAAGAGAAAACTTGGGGGAAAAATCACAAGTATTTCAGAACACGTTTCATTTCAAGGCTCGAACTGAGAAAAGCGTAATTTTGCTTGTGTGAATAAAGAAAAACTGATAACAGATATAGATATAGATAAGTTGGCTCTTATATCTGACTGTCCTTTTCTCCTGTGTGTTTTCTACGTTCCTTGCAATAAAATGATATCTGTATGATTGACCTAGACTACGATGTAGTCCCCCATTTGTCCTCAGGAATAGTAGAGCGAGCGAAACGCGAGCGCGCGCGCGAAAATCACTCCACGCGAGAAAAGGCGACACGCGGTGGTGATCACATTTTTCTCTCTCTCCCCGCCGCGTGTCGCCTTTCTCGCGTGGGGTGATTTTCACGCACGCTCGCGTTTCGCTCGCTCTAATATCCCTGAGGACAAATGGGGGACTACTCGTAGTCTATGATTGACCCTACAGTAGCTGGGGCGGATCGAGGATTTTTCTTAGGCAAATTTTAAAAGCGAATACGAAGAATGCATTTGACTAGGCAATAACATAACTTGAACTACTGAAAATAAGTCACATCAAACGATACAGCAGGATTTGTGTAGCTGTATTAGAAAGCCTAAGGTCATCTCAGGGGGCGGGGAGGAAGGGTGCACAGTGTGCACCCCCTGTACCCTTCCTCTGGATCCGCCCCTGAGCTGAACCTACTTCATTCAATCCCTATACTACCAAAGTCTACAGTATTAGGACACCTCTATATAACAGGCAGTTTTGTTGTCTCCTTTCCTAACACACATTACCAGTTTGAGAGTCTGTGTATGATTATTATTCATACCTCAGTTTCAGTTTTGAGATGCCAGCCAATAGCCTTGAGGTGCCTACAGATCTGCCATTGTTTCCTGTAGCTAAGGATAACATTTAATGGTGTAGCAAACTGACTGCCATACTGTTGTCTTGTTCTAACTACCCAACTTTTCTTCCACCACAACATGTAAAGCTAGACACAAGGTTAAGAAGAAAAATCACTTCATTGAGATGTCAATGCAATAGAAGAGGAGTGTGACATCACAAAAACTAAATTTGTGAAAAGAGCAAGGTAAAAAATCAGCTTATAAGTGCAAATTAGCAGGGAGATACATGTACAGTGTATAAGCACCTGTCCTTTATGCTCTGATGACTCCTTACAATACTTCTAAAATTAGCTTTTTACGATCCAGACCTATAGAGTCCTAGAGTGATGACGTCTTGGAAATTAAATTTGTGAAATTATGGGATTTGTCAAGATATTCTGAAAGAACTACGTCTAACAACAATGCTTACTTGCCAAAAATTAGCATTTTGGGGGCAAATTGTCTCTGAGATATAGCCCAGTTATGCTCTAATGACTCCACTGACAAATCCTTCTAAATTTGACTTGGGTCAAAAGGTTTAGACTGGCAAGTCAAATTTAGAAGGATTTGTATGGAATCATCAGAGCAGAAAGAGGCTAATATCTTAGAGACAATTTGCTTCACAATGCTAGTTTTTGGCAAGTAGTCCTCTTGGATATTTTTCTTTCAGAATATCCTGACAAATGCCATAAATTCACAAATTTAATTTTTTATGACATCACACTTTAGAACTCTATTTTAGAGGGATTTACAGTCAATGGAGTATGAACATTTTTTTTATCTTGATCTTTCTGGACATGCTACCACATCCCATAATTTTGCAAATTTAGTTTTCTATGATGTCACACTTTAGAACTCTATTTTAGAGGGATTTACAGTCAATGAAGCATGAACATTTTTTTATCTTGTTCTTTCTGGACATAGGCCAACATATCCCATAATTTCACAAATTAAGTTTTTGTGACACCTTCTCTGTCCATCTGGCCATTAACCTGATTTTCATAAAAGTGCCTTATAAAAGCTAAGATGCACAGTTAAGTCATCAAAAGGTTTTGAAAGTGAGTATTGAGTCATCACGTACTTGAGCTACTGTTTTCTCCCTAAACCAAGAACCTAGCTTGGGAATATATAATGTCATGCCTCATTGTTCATTCCTTAAGTTAGGAACCTAGGGGGGTACTCAAGATTTCAAGTGATGGGGATGATAGCAGGATAATATTTTTGGGGGTAGGAGAGAACCCTGGGAACGAGGTTGAGTGTTTCTTTGGCTGGCTTGATTTAGTAAGGAATTTTTGGGTATTCAACACAATCTGAAGATTTGTGGTAGTTCTTGTGTATTCCAGCCATGTAGTTCTGTGAATAAAAACAACCAAACTTGTTTTGCTTTCTGGAAATTTTAAGGCTTATAGTTTTTGCACGTATAATTTGTGATTTAAGTGATATCTTATGTTATTGTTTCGTTTTTGAGTTGTTTACTATTTATATTATTTAAAAAAAAATAACCAAATTTCTTTTTTTTTTTTTATATTTTAAGTCAAGGAAATGTTAAATGGGATTTTTTATTTTTTTTTTGGGGATGGGAGGTTAATTTTTGATCCAAGGATCTTTTGGGGGTTTTGATGGTAGCCATAGGGAATTTTTGGGGTTTTGATTTTTACCCCCATCTGAAGTATTCCCCCCTCCCCCACCTCCTGGGGCTGAGAGACTGTGTTGGCAAGGCACGAAATGCATGAGACTTGGTTGTTTCACATGTTAGGATTAATAAGGTTTGTCAAAAGTTCCTGTTCTAAGCACTTTTTCCCATTATCACATCGTATGTCAGTATGTACATCTTCTGCATAAACCAAGGTGAGGTATCCAGACATCACTAGAGTGAGGCAGTGATTTCTAACATGCATATATTAATGAATATGAGAAGTTGATTACCTCAGCTGGGAGAAGAGAGTTTTCAACCAGCGACACATATGCCTCCATTTCTGCTCTGTCTTTCATTTCCAAATCCTTACTAGCAGAGAAGCCCTGTAAAATTAAACATAGCTGGGTTTAAGTGACATTTTTGGCTAATTGATTTAATTGAAAAAGTGCTGCTTTAAAAAGAACTACTCTGAAATATTGATCCTTACTACAAACACCACGTGCAAAAAATACAGTATAAACCTGCATACATGTACATTGGTGCATAAGAATCTTACTTTTTTTTGGTCGGGCAAAATGTAGGTTCTTGTATCTTGGGGTATTAAAGTGGCAAATTTCTGCCAGGAGGTTCTTAATCCATTATGTTTTTACACACAGGTTTAATTGTATTCCATGCAAGGTCCTGTTTTAGAAGGCCAAGACTGGGAAAGCAGCTGTCATGGGAGGACTCAGGTAGGGGTGGTGTGCTAGCAAATATCATCTTCTCATATACAATGTTAGCCCATCTGTTTGCCTCATTCCCTTTCAACTTACTTGCTTGCCCATGTGACAATTATGAGGGATTGCTAAGAGCATTTTTATCTTAGGATTTTAGTCTTTGATGAGCTAATCACAGTGGAAAAACAAAATCATTGTCCCTACCTTTTCCTTAATGTATGAGGTAATGCCACTAAAATCACTTATTAACTGCCTGTCAGCTCTTAGAAAAGGAACATTACCTACAATTACACAAAAGTATAATTAATTACATTCAACACTACACTTTAAAAGGGAGCTAGAGATAATGAACAAATGATCACAAGTATCACCTTCTTTTCCTCCCTCTTTTTTAAAGGCTTTTAAGGCCAGTCTGGTAAGACTTGTTCACTGTCTTTTTTGAGCACCAAATGTTATTGTTTCCATAAAACTGAAACATCATGGGCAGAAAACAAGCATTGGGCAAATTCCTTGTTTAAACAGAAACTGGATACCTTTAGGAGACATAAATTCAGCATTCCTTCTGCTTGTTACTTCATAGGCTAACCCACAGAATTTTAAGTACACCTGTGAAAATAAAATGACCAGTTTCTACTAAATATTTATTATTACAGTGAGGCAACAACACTCACCCTTCCAAAACTAAAATTATGGAGGTTCATTTAAAGGTAGCTAACAGGGATTAGCATATCACCAACTTAAAGATAGCCATTACATGCTGCTTTATTAAAATGTTAATGTAACATTTAAGTATAAAGAGAAACTAGTGCAAAGTCTGAGCGCCACCCTGTCAGCAGAGGCCTCTCTTGTCTTCTTGATCAAGGACGAGAAAAGGGCAGGACCTGCTTGAATCACGTCAAACCTTTAAGGTTGCCACAGCCTGCACTTCGATTCTGGACTAGTCATTCTTGTTTCCCATTGTCAAAGAAGTTTCTTCGAGAACAAGCATCTGTTTATTGATAAACCAATGGTCATAACCGAGCCCACTGCTACAAGCACACTGCTCTTACTCAGCCTGGGCTTCAATTTACAGGCTTTTGGGTGATGTGGTATTAATAGCTCTCTCCGGAAAAAAGTGATAGCCTGGGACCAAAACTAGGTACGCACACATTTATGGGATTATTTGGGGGGGAAGTGAATGTAAACAAATATGGTGGGAAGCAAAGTGGAATGTTTCAGCGGGGTTAAAACAGCTAAAGCTGAAGGAAGAAGATCATGTTTGTGGGGTGATTTTACCTTGAGAAAAACCAGAAGAATGCACAGTGAAACAGCTTCAAATTAGCCTTCCGAAGAAAATGTACACATTTTACTGATATTCTCAAAGGAAACTTCTTGCCTTTGGTATTCTACAAAATGCCAGCTAGGAGTTCGTGAAGTTATTTGTAAAGCCACACGACAACTTGCAAGTCTCGTCATAATTCAAGGTGGCGTGCTCGACTTGTCCCCCCAAACAATCTCATAAATGCGCACGCGCTTCGTTTGGGTCCCAAGCTATTACTCTTTTCCAAAGTGAGCTATTAGCTGGTGGCCGAGAAAGCTCTTACATGGGTTAAAAACATTACAACTTATTTTTTGAGATTTTGCCATCTAAACATTAATTTTGTTGTCTCAGAATAAATATTACTTTAATCTTTATGATTTCCTCAAGCAATGAATTAATTCATGCTTTTGTAGTAAAACTCAAAGACAGATTTTTCTGTTAGCTGTTAGTTTTCAGCGGCCATACATGTACATGTATTTGTGCCCATAAAAGGGACACCAACATGGCATCTCCATACAAAGCTTTATAAATTTGGGCAAAACGTTGTCTTGAACATCTCTATATGAAATTTCACACAGACCTTTTAAAATATATTTATCTTCTTTCATTTTCCAGATTCTGGACTTTCTGTATTGAATGGTTTGAATATTTATTTTTGATGACGTGATAGTGAAAACAGAGAATTTCTTGTCTGGGGCAATACCTTTTGGTCAAGTATCACACTCTACTGAACTTGTATGTTGTGTTTGGATTGTCAACACTTTGACTTAATTGTGTGGATTGGTTCTTCACTAATCTGAACATGAGCTCCAGCTGATATTTGCAAACAATAGGAAAGGAATTAAACCGTTCATTTCGGCAGATGTTCATGGGGCAGGAATGTGTGACGAACCCCAAAGAACGTCTGCGTGGGAGGCTAAAGGAGCACACTGTTAGTAAAATTATCAGGAAACAAGGAGAAAAAAAATAAATATTATTGTTCATTTTGAGTTGACTTACTTTGGAAACATCATGCAGAGACTTGTGAATTTGTTGTATAAAATACTTAATTATTACCGCAGTAAGAACTCTAACACAAATTATATAGAGTGCTGAGAAATTGCATAATTTGCCATGCGTATATCTTTTCTGCTGCTTCATGTGACCTCTAAAAAAATTAATTCAGCATGATTTGCCAATAATTTTGACACCTCATCAGAAGGTCTGTCATATGACAGATTAGCAGGTTGGAACCCATAAGAAATGTTGCAAATGCATACACTCCAAATTATGCCAAGAACAAATACTACCATGAAAGGTATTGCTAAAGATGTACAGGTAGCCATCAGATTTCATACTCACGGATTAAGGTAGTAAATATGCATTAATTTTTATAGCAATATATTTGAGTTAACAGTTTCTACCAAAAAACAAAAAAAGGCAGTAGAAATGACAATTTTTCATACATGTACCTCTGCACTTCTACAATTAGCAGCATCTGTCAGAAGAATGGTATCTAAAAATGTAATAAATTAATAATAAAAATTAATAATAGTAAAACATAAATTCTAATTCTCGGTTGGAATCTCACTTGGAATCATAACAGAGGCAACAGACCAACTGTACTTGTACAGGACTGCACAAGGCTACTCTCAGAAATACATATGTACCAAACTCTGGAGACCCATGAACTGTCTCTTTCATACAATAACCCTACCCCCCGCCCCTCCAGCCTCTTTTCTCATCCCACCCCCTTGTTATGTAATACAATCAAAGCAACCTAGCACTTAAGATTATAATATGGGTGTGACTTAGGACATTAAATACATATTCTTGCACGAGGCAAAAAAAATCAACAATTGCTAATTATTATAATGATGAAAACAGTCTTCATCAGTTGTGATGAAAGATGTGCAGATATGATCTAAAAAAAAAGACAATTTTATATTTTGGAGAAATTTGTGATATCATTACAATAGAACTCAAAGACATCTTCATTCACAAGATTTAGTGAAATGTGCAGGAGACCAGAAGATTATTTTATGCTGTATCAAGGATCAAGACTCCTAGATAATCTGGGAAAGTTTGGCATATTATATGCATGTAATTGGTCCTTAATAATACAAATGTAACAAGGAAGATTCAATTACCTTTACATGGCTCATAAAGCTCCACATTTTCAGGCCATACCTCTTGTTCTGTGTCTAAAGTGAAGGTACAACACACATTAATACTGTAATAATATGATCAACCTCTGGTACCAAACCTTCATGCATATGGGTTACACATTGTAAATCCTGGGAAAAACACCCCTGGCCCTTTTTGTGAGCCTAGGTGAGAGGTGCTAATGCCAAGAAGATATTTTTATAAGAGGTGGATGCCCATTGTACTTCTTTAAAATCATGCCCAGATTAATGACTCTTATTGTTATCATTATGGATAGGAATAACATTTTACCACAGAAACAACACTTTTCTTATTATGAGATACACTAGCATTTTAAGGGGATTTGTTTTTCTGACAATAGTAGCATCAGTTACAGGTCAAAAATGAAAATTCAGGATAAAATTTTTTAACCTAGGTTGATTTAGCCTGAGAAAACAGCCAACATTTTACGATGCCACATCATTTTGCTGGGTGGTGGTGGTGTTGTGAAATGTGGACTGTTTTCTCAGCAGGCTAAGGTTGATTTGACTCTAATTTCCTTTAAAAATCTGATCTCCTAACTCTAATAATTCATGAATTAGGGCTGGGAAACAAAGGAAATTGAGAATCAACCTAGGTTAAAAAAGTGTAACCTGAATTTGGATCTGTAACATCGATCTACATCTGCTGTTACAAATTAAATCCATTGCTCATAGCAACACGTCCCTTAAATTCCTTGAGGGTATTTTGAATTCGAGCGCTATGTTTTAAAAATTCAGTTTGAGCTAGCAGTGGACATGAACAGAAGAATTCAGATTTAGAAACAAAGACCTGGAGATAATTCACGCAAGTGTAAGTAGTTTTTTCCAAGAGTTTTTTCATCCTTTGAGCGAATTTCTCATCAGGATATTTGGCCTTTTTCCTTTTTCAGCGAATCATTCTGTAAACCACACTATTAATCCTCGAAATGTAGAAGTGAAAGAGTCAAGCTGATTTCGACGCATGAATGCTTATTAACTTGAACTGTTAGAATACTGAGACACTGAGAATTAAATAATGAATCTTGAAGAACAGCGAAACGATGACAACATCTGCATTGAAATACAAATACAAAAATTCTAAAATTTATACCAAAACTATCTCGAAATTTTGTTTTCGGTGCATGTCTGAACTTCATAAGCTCATTTTGCATCTGAAGCAGAAGGCTGCGGAATGTACAACCTATAAATGGTTTTATGGTAAATTTTAGCTCTTTATAGCACAACAGTGACCAGAAAACTGCTTCAAAACGTGTTTTTTGGCAAAATTTCCGGGGCGAATGGGTTGATTCACACAAGGTACGTTATTTGGAAGTTACACAAAAGGGCTAGGTTGTGATCTCACAAATTCACAAACACTTTCACAATTTGTAAAAGATCAACTAAGGCGCTTAACTGCAGTGTAACCACAGAATAGTCTGTATGAGATACGGTTGGAGCTCTGGGAGACCAGCAGCACAATAACTTGAACAAAAGTTGACTCAAGTTGACCCCCTCGAGTGAAAAAATTGAAGCCATCATACCTTCGATAGAATAACATTTTTAAGTGTATTGAATACAGTGTAGCATGAAAGGTATTGAGAAGGATGATTTTTTAGTCAGTGAGACACGCCAATCGACTCTGAATCAAAAATCCAAGAACTCCAAATAGGAGTCATAACTTATGACCTTCTGGTTACTCGTCCAGATGCTCTACCCACTNTGACCTGTTGAATAATTTTGTCTGCAAAATTTTCAGTGAAATATATCTATGAAAGTAAAAACGACTGAAGAAGTTCTTGCGTCTTGCTGGATTCAAGGCAAGCGCCCTACAAAAAGCCGCACGAAGCTGTCAGCTTGCGGACGCAAAAAGAAGTTCTTGCACATGCATTATTTTTGGGCTATACGTTTTGTACTTAGGTAGCTATACTTTTCCATATATTCATTCTTTTTCTTGTGAGGATCGGATCGGATCACAACTTGCATATTTTTTTTAAAAAAAAAAAATTAATTTTTAAAAAAACCTTTAAGCGGTTGCAGGCGGTAAGAAGTGTTGCTTCAGGCGGTAAATTTTACCGGTTACCGCCTGATAAGGAGAACACTGCTCAAGTTGACCCCCTCGAGTGAAAAAATTGAAGCCATCATACCTTCGATAGAATAACATTTTTAAGTGTATTGAATACAGTGTAGCATGAAAGGTATTGAGAAGGATGATTTTTTAGTCAGTGAGACACGCCAATCGACTCTGAATCAAAAATCCAAGAACTCCAAATAGGAGTCATAACTTATGACCTTCTGGTTACTCGTCCAGATGCTCTACCCACTTAAGCTAAAGCATTTGTATTACAGTGGAACCTATTTAAGTCAGTTTCATAAATTGTGCACGATTTGTTTCATCTCCCTTGGAGAATCATTGAACTTAGTGCTATTTGCGGATACGTGATAACCCTTCTATTCACGTAAAGTGGGCGTTTATCGCAAAGCGAATTACAGCAGATGCTCTACCCTCTAAGCTACAGAAAAGTATTACAGTGGAACCTCGATTTAACGAAGTGCCAAGGGACTGGGGAAATTTCTTCAGTAATCGAGGGCTCACTATATCGAACACCTTCAATTAATGAATTTTTGAGAAAACTACAAAAATATTAATAATTATTATATCGAGGTATAGTTAAGAACTAATTTACAAAACCCAGCATTTCTGGATCTGAAAAATTACTGTAATAGCATTTCAGTACCAAGCTACATGTAGCTACGGCACTATAGGAACTCAATAACAGCTAGGCAAACAAAACTGCTTAAAGCTACTGTGCGCATAAATTTTACCCTTGTTGGTCTGTTTGGCATTCATCTTTCATCACATGCTGACATTTATTCATTATAGTGAGGTAAATTTTACATTTGTGCTTGTGGATTGTGTTCATTATAGTGAGGATTTTGTTAAATCAAGGTTCTGTTCCATACATATTACTGTAGTTTTGGCTGGGCCGAAGAAAAAGTTTTGTTATAACGAGGACTTCGATAAATATAGAGGTTTGTTAAATCAAGGTTCCACTGTATAATTTTCATACTGTACATTGTACACACTCAAGACAAGCCTGGATGCACTATGGTCTAGAGAGAGACATTACTAGTAGTCCAGGAGATATCCATTTCTGGATATATCATGACGTCACTGATAATTGCATCTTGGACCTCCAGTATTTGCAACGCTTTTGAGCCTCATTATTGTGGTTCCTTTCATTTATGTAATGAGACCACGCATTACTTGTAAGGGAACATCAAGGGAACATGTGAAACAATGAAAGATGGCTTGCGTCTCTGCAATGCAGAGAAAGATCTGCCCAAAGTGAATTCACCGGTTGTGTTTTTTTATGCATTCTGAGTGTATGTAATAATTTTTTCTGGTTTTGAAAACATTACTCTGAGATACTAGAGTAAATTTTCTTGTTGTTTATTCAAAGAAAATCCATACGCACGATACTTTAGTTCATATGCACGGCCTTTGAAAATCTGTGATGTGTGTAATTTTGGCATCATTACTGGTTCACTGTGTGAGCATTTCATGGAAAAAAAAATGATCTTTGGTTTTGTTTAATTTGGGATTGTTCATGTTGCGAGGCGTTGAAGTCATCTCTTTGCTGTTGTTTAGAGGTCATTTCCTGTGCTCTTTGTAACTGTTTGTCTGTGAATTTGATGATTTCCTGCTCTGCTTTGTCATGCATTCTTGTAGGATCAGTTGAATTCTCACCAGTAGCGAACTACAAATCCAAATTTACACGGTACAAAAAGGGGTCTGTAGTCATAAAGGACTTTTACCTCATGATGTAAAATTTTGCTTATTCCAATTATTTTCATTCTAGTGGGTATATTATGCCGGAGAGCAAATTATATTTTTGCGGCTGGTCTCATGTTGAGAGGTCATGAAGCTGACCTGTGTCAGGAATATTGATTAATTATTTCTTGTCATTTTTGTTTTTTACAGGATTTATCTCTCATGCGATGCAGCTTAAGCATTTTCTTTGGCTTAGGTTCAAGGATCATGACATTTATTAACTATTGTATTGTTTATATGATGAATTTGTACTGTGGCCAAATTTACTTTGTTTTGGTTTTGATCTTAACCAATCACAACACACCACACCTATATCCAGAAATGGAAATCTCCCAGACTGTACTATAAAAACAAATATTGCAACAAGTTGGAAATATTTATCCACAGAAAATGATCACATATGGCTACCTCCTTGTAGAGAAGGAACATACATTAAAAATAATTTGTCAAAAAAAATGATGGATCTAATGAAAGCTTCCTAATGATATGGGTAATAAGCTTCACTACTAACTTGAACTTAGCATATTGTGCACAACTCCTGTTTGTTTAACATATTTTAGGTCATGTCATCATCACTGAATAAAATTAGAATATTCATGTAATAAATGTCTCCTTAACACAAAGATCATCTCGTTGGAGAAAGATCCCATAGAGTGTAGATAATCGTTTTTCAGTGTGGTCAAAAGTCTCTAAAGTATATAGTGATATCCTGGAAGAAATGATCTGAAATCATCTAAAGTTCAAGAAATGTTTCAAAAATCTACATTCACGACAATTTATACTAATTATGAGCTTAAGCTTTTAGTTAAATCAAATAGCGCATACAAAACTGTCCCTCAAACATCAAAATCTGTGCCAATTACAAAGGAAAAGCAAAGTAACTTCACGGAAAATAAAATACAAATTCACGCAATGAAATGCGTCAGATCATAGAAATTCGCGTGCATCGGCGTATACGCCTTCCTCAATATCACGAAGAATATATAAGCTTTTGTGGTGATGACAGAATTACACTTGTGCAGTTGGCAAGCTTACATCTCTACAGTACATGCATGATGTGCTGAATTATTTTTAGCTACACGCAAGCCAACTTTGGAACGAATTCCTCTACAAGACTGTCAGGTCCGTCACGAGAGGAAGCTTTCAATTCACGCACAACTGTCAAGAATAAAAGACCATAATATCTAAAAATGGAAAACTCACTCAATGCAAATGCCGCCATAACCGCTTCCGTCAGAGGTCTGTTGGCCGCCATCTTGAAAAAATGTGAAGAGAACTGAGAGCGAGTTTATAGTGGGCTCTCTTCTCTTGATTTATTTGAACAGTGTGCGAGCCACCCTCTTCGCAGATTGATTTTAAAAGATAACCTTCCAATTATTTGGGTAAGAAAATGTGCATGGAAGTAACGTGAAAGAGATAAAAATGAAGAGTCTGATATCCTCTAACTTTGACCCAACAGAGCTTCACCGGCCAGATACGCACGCGAGGGGCTTGGGCATGATTTCAAAATATTCGTACAAAGTTCGCTTTTAGTCCCTCCCACTTCTCTCTTGTTTCCTGTCTCGAAGCAAGTCTAAAATTGTTGTCCTGTCATATAAATACGGCCCGCCAGGTACTTCGTAAGAACACTCTGGATCACACCAAACTAAACCTGGCTGCCTTCACGTGCTCTTTCGTAGTTAGCATCGCTCTTGCGAAGGCAAATGACTTCTGTAGATGATACTTCTAAGCGGTTCGAAGATGTTGATAAGCCGCAAGAAATTGAATCGAACACGCTGGATGGAAGCAAAGTGCGATGTTTTCCCACTGTCAAGCGAACTTTTCGTCAAAAACAAAGCAGTTGGAGGTGGAGATGGAAGTATTTCACAAGGTATGCTACTACAGTCGCTATTTCATTAGAACTCTAAGTTTTCTACACTGTACAAATTTATGAGAACCACTGGACAACGAGTGATTTTACATCGCTTGAGGCGGCAATCGATTCCTTCCAATCAGTACCTCAGTACTCGAGATCTCCAGGTGATTTCAGGGGCAAACATCGCTGAGCAATATTTGATATAAGTTATATAACAGAAGACCCTCATAAATGAGAGCTTGACGTTTAGCTTAAATATACCGATATTTCGGCTCCATTTTCTAGAAAATTCTTTGTTATTTATCATGACGATGGAAAACTTTTCTTCCGAAAATTAAATGTTGCAAGCAGATGGTTTTCTGCTTTGAGAGTACAGTTTCGTTAGTAAAATATCGAGCTTGTCGTTATGACATCTCGAGCTTTTCCGCCAACGTTTTTTTCGGCCAGCTAATTAAAATATTTTTCAAAGTCAGTTTGATATTTTGTGCGTGATTCGCTTCATCTCCCTTGGTGAATCGTTGAACTTCGCGCTCTTTGTGGATACGTGATAACCCTCCTATTCAAGTAAAATGGGCGTTTATCGCAAAGCGAATTATAGCATTTTTAACCTTCTTTTAACTGAACTTTCCCACAAATGCCCACTGTCCTCTTCTTGAAAAACCCAGCGACATTTTTCCTTCATTCTGGTGTGAATTTATTCATTTCATATTCATAATTTTCTAAACTCAAACAACCGCACATTCATATTTGATAGCATTCCATACCATGAAATCACAACTTAAACAACTGTCTTTGATTCATGTAATGTTCCATGTTCTCATAGGTTTACCAGATTATTTTAAACATAAGCTTCATAATTTTTACAGGGTTTAACCTTTTCGTGTCAATCCTTTCAAATTGAGTTTTTACGATTGTGTATTAAAACTACTGAATGACCTTGTAAACAACACTTCATGCTGTGTTTGTCGACTTTCCGGCATACCGGCACCTTTTAGCCTCAAAATTCGTTTCCCTGGAGCAAGAATTTTCTAGACCTGCTGGCCTTGAAATATTCGGCAACTCTATTCATTTTCAATGAATCTTGATTGTGGGCGAAATTGTGAAAAGACGCGAAACTACACATTCCACGCGTGAAATCAGCTTTGTTGTGACTTAAAGCACGTGTTGTTATTTGTGACATCGGAAACAATAGGATTTGTAATTCAATACATCATGTATCGATTGTGCCCAAGTGGTGAATGCGCTGTAGTTAGCAATTAGTGTTTGTCTTCATTAAATAATATTGCATACCAGTACTGTAGTTTAAAAAATGAATCACTCAGTAACTACATTGTATCTTTAGTCATTTGGAGTGGCTGGAAATTTTGCCCAGCATCTATGGAATTTATTTTTGTTACCATTATGAAAAACAACCGTTATTGATTCTTGGTATTTTTCTTGGTTCATATCAGTTTTTCCTTTCAGTTGACGTTTCCTCAGTGTTGTTAAGCTTCCATAATCCCATTTTTCCCATTATTTATTTTTTTGCTTGAAGACATACAGCAGACATCATGTTTTTCAATGTGAAACAAAAAAAACATAGCGACACATATTTTTTAGAACACTCAAGTTGAAATTCAGAGTAAAGTATTCATTTAAATGTTATTTAATTGCTGGGTTCTTCACATTGTGAGGAAATGCATGCTTGACCCAACTAAGGGATGCCTATATGACCCTGCTAGATATTCATCGACTTGTGTTTAAAGAGGGGGAAATGGGGATTTGCAGTGTCGCTTATTTTTTTTGTGCGGTGTTGCAGTGAATAAAATCCCGTGTTGCGGGGATCTTAAACCCTACAGTGTGCGGAGTTTCTGATTTTAAACCTACAGGATTTGGTGAAACAAAATCATTTGCGGTTTTGTGGTTTATCATTTCACCGTAGTTACTAAAACGAGGAACCAAGCGAAACGAGCCAAAAGGACCTGAACTATACACAAAGACCCATAATTATCAACAATGATCAGAATTAATGAACAAAAGATCGACAACGACCAAAGACAAGTTCCACCATCCAAGAATGTTACGTAAAATTGATTCTACTAGCTCACTGCTTTGTTATAGCAGGGGCGAAGGATGATCTTTTTGGTCTTTTTATACAAAAAAAAAATTCAAAACAAATGGATAATATGCAAAATCTAGGTTTATTTTTTTCACGACTGTCTCCTCAGTCCCATGGGCAGTGCATGCATTTTTCTATCTGCATGACTGAAAATAGAGTTCGCAAATAACTTGAGGTCAGTATCACTCTCCATGACTCTCTACTAATCTCTAATCAGCTCCGTGATCGTCTCTCCTTAATTATATGGGGATTAGGATTAGATTAATCATAGGACAAAAATTAGACTTTCTACAGTAAAAGTCCTTTATTTTTTTCCTGATTTGTTATGCCATTTTAAAGGACTTTTCATATCGAAATTCACTGGTCGAAAATTCTAAAGTAATATTGCAATGTCAGTGTTTCGCCACTTCTTTTTGCAGTGGTCAATGTGGTGTTTGTCTGTTTGTTTGTTTTTTTTCTGTGGTGTCATGGTGTGGACAGTCCTCCATTTAAGCAAGGTTTATTATTATGAATATATTCTCCCTGTTGTCTGAAGAAGTCTATATGATATTATCCATATCTAACCTGTACATGTATCCCCCCGTAGAAGTCAGTGATAGTTGACCTTACCAGATTGGTGCATTTATTCCATTAAATTAAATGCTCTTTCCATTAAGGCTATGTGCTTACCCTGTACCAGACAAATTTTTGGACTGGCTAAAAAAGGGGTTATGTGCGCTAAATATTTGTACAAAGTTTGCTTTTTGGCCCTCCCACTTCCCTCTTGTTTCCTGTCTTGAAGCAAGTCTAAAATTGTTGTCCTGTCATAATACGACCCGCCAGGTACTTTGTTAGAACACTCTGGATCACAGCAAACTAAACCTGGTAGTGGCTGCCTTCACGTGCTCTTTAACAGTTATAAGGAAGATCAACCTGATTTGCCTGTATCTCTTGAGCAGAATTAATGAATGTAAAAAAGTGAGATGATAGTAGTCTATACAGTGCAGCTTCATCATGTACATGTATAAGGATGCGGTTGTAAAACAGTGGATACTAATACATCCCCTGCTTTTGTGTTAAATTTGTAGGGCACTTCAACCCATCTCAGAACAAGGGGAAAACACAAGGGAAGATGTTATTAAAGTGGAGGAAAATAACACTCAGCTCCCTTCCAATGTCCATAACAGTAGTGATTTAGAAGCTTCAGAAGTGAATGAACAAGAAATTGTAAATTCAAACTGTGAGCATGTAGTTAATTCTTACAATGAGGATGAAAACTCTCACGGAGAAACAGAACATTTGAAATCCAAAGAAGACTACAGTGCATGTAACAAACTCATTGAGAAGTTTCAAGAAGCAGTACTGGATAATGCAGTGAGAGTTATCCAAGCAGCCTTTAAGCGTTTTAGAGAAAGGCGGAGATTTTTGAAGAGACGGAGAGCCGCAACTATCATACAAAGAAGTGTGAGACATTGGCTTATGACGAGACATTTATCTGAAACTTCATGTACGGAGAGCTGTTTTGCTATCAAAGAAGCAAATGAGTGGAATACTGAAACACAAGAAAATTTGTCATCTACAGAGCAAGAAAGAGAAATGGTTGACTGGACTGGTAATCTCAGTGACAGTGAAGAAATCCAAAATAAGCTTGAAAACAGTGAAGTTGTGAGTGAAGGACTTTCAGAAGGAAAAGGTAACTTGTTAGATTCAGCGTCATGTAAAGCTGATCAATTTGAAAGCTCACTTGACAGCCTCGATGATTCCTCTTTATCTGGAAGTACCGACAACATTAGTGATTCAGGAGTGTGTATTGACCAAGGTGAAGATAACATTGCTGTTACTAATGATCCAGATGCATTATCATTAGCTGACAGCGGCATTGATATGTACTCTGATACACCTGTTGAGGCCACCATTGTGGATGACTGTAAATGTTTCACAACTGGCCATCCATTGCCAAATTCAACTCCGGAGACAATTTCTGAACTCCAGTGATGTTTTATCAGTCAGTAATGGTAAGGATAGAAAAATCTACCAACGAATTTTTTTGGTCTTAATTCTGTGTAATTCCAAGTGTTTAATTCTGGTTACTATCTATTCCCATCATACAGTCTGTTAAACTGGATTACTTTATTTTGTACATTGAATCTGTTTGGTTTATTTCTCCCAAACATTCAAAATTAATTTATTCAATATGCAAGTTTCTGATTGAGTTACACGTAGTAAGTTCTGTATATATAAAAACCTATTTGCAACTAATATCATTAAACTTGGACATAGTTATGCATATTTTAACATACAAGGCTGATGGACTAATATCTTTTTATTAATAGTATTTTTGTGACGTGTGAAATTTTTTTTTCGCTATAGGACAATTAGATAGTATCTCTGAAATTAGGTGTCTTGCTTTTGAGGCAATTAAGACTTGACTTCAGCCTTTTTTTTGAAAGTGTAGTAAAAACTTTGGGATTGGAGTGGAGAGTCCAAAGCTACCATTGTAGACTGTTCAGTCTTGGCTCTAGTTAAACTTCAATTGAATTAATAACTGACCCTTAGGGTTACTTTTGTATGTTGCTATTTCAAATATTTATTAAGAATTTTTTATATGATTTTTGATGCGCCTTTCTGCACATTTTTGTTGAGTGTAATGGTCCTACATGTAAGTGACATCTGATTGATTTAGATTCTCCCTACAATTTCCCTTGTGTATGCTTGTGATTCATCAGGATAATTTCACATCAGATCAGAAGTCGCTTATGGCCTTGTTCCATGAACTTTGTTTCTTTTATGCTTGCAGCAATGAGTTTTGGCAGGTAGCTGTATTTTCAGGCTAGCCTGTAGAGCAGTCTGAAAGCTTATTTTTGCTTACACATGAAGAGAGAAATGTTCAGCTGTGCAGTCACCACCCTTAATGACTGGTTGGCTGTCTGAATTTTCTCTCTCCAAAGAAGGGAGTACAGTTGGCTGTATTTTAGCGAAGAAATTAGCGTCAATCATTGTTCCAGTTAACTGAGACAACTTTTGAATCCTGTCAAATAAACATTCTTGTGCAATCAGGCCTTGAGTAGCGAGACAGCGCCGATATCCTTTTTCTGGACCCCATATGGATGCAACAAATTACCAAAAAGCCGGTTCATAATATTTTAACTTCAGTGTGAAGTTTAACAGGTCAATCATGGCGCACTCAAATCCTAGTACACAGGTGGTGGTCCAGAACAAGGATTTTAATGCTGTTTGTCAGATGGACCTAACCAGAAATTTAGTTCTGTCTGTGGCACAGGCTAGCCTTGAGTGGTGCCAAATATCATTTACAGCTGTATACTTAGGTAGCAATTAAACCTGCTGTTCTCCCTTCTTAACCAAGGATTTATCTACCTATAATTTTTTGTATTTTTCTTATACAGATCCCATTTGCTGGGACACTTTTTGTGAGTTAACCAGGTTATTATTTGCCCTAGAACAAAGTTCAAAATTTTTATTAGCAGTCAGATGTCTGTGTGGTTAGAAGTATTAAAAATAACTTCAATACCACATGAATGCTACAATTTTGTTAAATCAGTGCTTGGATGTAAAGACTAAATAGAATCTAAAGTGAGCCAAGATGATTCTTTGATAATTGATTAACTTTCTGGTAAGGCATTTTTTTTGTACATGTACTTGCTTTATTTTAGAACTGGTTTAAAATTTTAACACCGAAGATAATGCTGCCGCATTGCCCATTGTTTAATTTGGTTTGTTCTTATGGGAAATAACCTGGTTAAATCTTCTGGTGTGTCAATGGATTAATGCTTGGTTTAATCGGCTAAATAATTCTGTTGGTGTAGTGTATTTTGTCGAAATTATCAGGTGTGCAATATTGTACACTAAAATTATGAATTTTGAGGCTGTTACAATGGAATAATATGAAATGCCAGCAATAGTGGAAATATTATTGTTGAAATTTTTTTAAAGAATATAATTATGTTATGTAAGAAATTTCTTTTCATATACATTTCAAGGTTTCCCTTCAACCCAAATTGGTTATTTAAAAAAAGAAAAAGTATAATACAATTTATAATAAACCAATATTGCAGAAAACATAATAGTAAATGTTGTTTCTTGTGTTATGTCCCGGGGGGGGGGGAGTACTCGACCAATCTTTGGGTATTGGTGAGCCGCTCAGGGTTTGAAACCCTGACCCTGTTTAGGACAAAATAATTCCTAAAATAAATACCCTGTTTACGGCAATACCCTCAATTTTATTACCCTGTTTAGGACAATGGTCAAAATCCACGCCGTCTTGTTTTAAAGCCGTTCACTGGCAATTGCAAAAGAACAAACTCAGGTTACAGTCATTGCTTTTGTTTAATTGGAGTACAAGCAAAATTCATCCAGCAAATCAAATCAATCGTGCACGCAATACCCTTCAGAGAGAATCACACGAAATTATATAGCCTGTTAGTGTTTAGTACAGAAGGTGAAAACCATACACTGTCAGGAGCCCGACAATGTCCAACGGCGCACCCATGTATAGCCCATGTGGGGGGGATCCCCCGGAACGTGATGCTTGTTTTATTCAAAACTGTCTAAGGTCTGTTGTGTTAAACCCAAAAGCCCAGTTTCCTTTTCTTGGCTTGTTTTGATGCTGCCCTTCCCGTTCTAATAGGCCATTCACTTTCACGTATAGACTGCGAGCAGTCTCTTGTTTTTCTTTGCAAAGTAACTGCACGCGAAACCTAGCCACTCGAGCGGCGAAGCCGGGAGCCGCTAGAAACGAGGGCGTCTCGTCTCTGCAATAATAACGTCGTGGTTTGCAATCGCGCTGGATGAGATAAGAACTAGACGGATTTTAAGAGAAAAGGCGGACTGCAAGCAGTCTATTTAACGTATTGCAATCTGAACTTGTTTCATGTAACAAGCAGGCACAAGGTAGACTTCAAACTAGATCCCCAAAAGGCCAGGTTCCTAACCTAATGGTCGATAGCGTTATAATTTGTTTTTTTTTTCACGAGCAACTTCCAACTTAAAGTATTTTGTCGATGTTTTAGAAAATTCAGCTCAATTCTAACAACCCCGATTCCTGAAGACTCCAAATCCTGGTCCCGTTCTTCTTTGGAATGCCAAATCCCGTGTTTAAGCATGCGGAAATCCCGGTTGTTTACTCAGTTCTCTCTGCAGGAGTCAGCTATCGAAGACTCGTGGGATAGGTAGTTATAGGTCCACATGACAAACATCTTACGTACTACTGGGACTGTTTAATAACTCATGTTGGGAGAAGAAGGATTTCTATGACTCCGAGCGATTCAGGATGTAATAAAAAATTCTCGAACGTCCTCACTCTGTTCACCAGGGTTAAAATTCACAATCACATTCATATAATCAGGGAAGCAAGTACTCCAAAAATTTTGTCTGAGATTTTGGTAGAATCTGGCAGCGAACGTTTTGAGATCATACTGCCTAGAATTTCGTCTTGCTTTTAGACCACTTTATAAACGGTCGCTTTTTGACACCATACGGACCGTATTAAATTGGCTTTTGCGTTTGCCTCCAGTACCAATAGCCATTGTTTTTTGACGCCTTACAAATCGTATTGACTACTGTTTCCCTGAGAAAGGCTACTTAGCTTGACTAATCCAATATAATGCTAATAGGCTTCAGAGAAATCATTCGTTGTGGGATTGGTGTCAATGACCAGCCCTTGAAGTGTATGATATATTCCGGCTTATCACAGGAGGTGCATGAACATACAATTCACAGTTCAACTCGTATCAGAAAGTCTAAATTGAAGTACAGAAGCAGACGCTTCTGCAAGATACTCAAACTTTTACCACTGAAAGCTGTATATAAGAACATCACCAGAACCAAGTGACTATGAAGATCATGAATGGGTTTTCGCCTCTTGTGATCATCATGTTCGTGGCTGTTAATTCACAAGATATTGTTAGAAGTAAGTTGAACACTATGTCTTTTTTATTTTACAGTGTATAATACAAAGCTACGGAACCTTGATGTGAAAGCAGTTTGAAAGCGAACTACTTTAATGGAACGTAACTGTGCTAGAATCACGGCAAAAGATTCACCCAGTTTCTAATCCTTAACTCGACAATCACGTCAGTTCTTCTAAGTTCACCCTTTTCTGCATTTGGTTTAAGATTTACTATAGCACTGTTGAATAATTGTATTTTTTCAGAATAAACGTTATATATAGAAATTAAGAGAAAACTTATTCGAAAAATTTTCGAAGAAAAGGGGGTCTAGGCTTAGGCCTCCAACAGCGTGAATTTATAAGCTGACAGTGGGGATTATTGAAAATTCTCGAAATATCAGTCGAGTGATTTCCGTGAGATATTGACCTTGATACGATTTTCACTTGAAGTAGATATTGGTTGGTGTTTTTTTTTTTTTGGAGACCCCTCCAGGCTTCATTCTTTCTTCACACTTCATTAAAAATGTTCAGTTCTATTTTGTCGTTTAATCATTTTGGCCCCCGTTGAAAGTACATTGAACTTTCAAGTTACAAGGGACTTTCTCACAAAAGGGGAGAAAAAGAAGGAAATTCAAAAGACGGAGAAATTAATTAAATTTGTACAAACTGATCTCATTAGAATATTGGGTCGTTTCTTTTGTCTAAGACTAGTTCTGAGACTAGTTCTAGAATAAGCGAAAAAATTTGTAAGTATCTCGCCTGTTAAACCAACTGCGCCTTTACATCCTCCTTGTCCGAAATCCACAAAATGATGAAATTCCGGGGTTTTTCTGGAAGGGGCAGAGGTGACAAAAAAAAACGCTTAATGTCTTAATCAAAGGATTTGTGAGTTTTCTGTGGCATATAAGCATTTTGAAAATGTCTGCTACAACATCGTAATAAACTGAAGTGCCCTTAACTGATCCAAAACTACCCAATTGACAAGATATGTATTTTTCTTTAAGATCGCTTAATTAAATGCAGCCCAGATTTTAACACTAAATTTTCTACATGTATCCAAAGCACAGCACGTGGTTTCTCGCAGACTCGATGCAACTTTTTATCCCCGTGTGCACCGTCACATGAAAATTTTATGTCGTTCTTTTCCTTGCTTTGGATCAAGTCTACGTCATATGCGGGGAGAAGACTTTCAAAGCTTGCCAATACCTCAAGAATATATATAGCTATAGTAGCGAGAAGAGTGACAATGACCGTGATGCACTGAATGAATTTGAAAAACTTTGCAAGCAATGTGTTTTTGAAATATTGGATGCAGTTGACTGATACAAGCAACGTTTTAAATCAGTTTCCTCTTAGAAAAGGAATTATTTGTAAGGAATAAAACATAACTTTTGTTGGGTGACAGTTCTGATGAATTTATTGCCCACTCATCCAAGTTGATTTGTTCACAGAAACTGTCAAGTAGCTGCTGATACAGATAAAAAACAATAGAACAAAACCAATTGATCTCAGTCAGTCACAATACTGAAATTGGCCATTTTTTGCGCTTCATTGAGTACAGTCAGTATCTCTTATCCACTTTACCATATCACAATATGTACGTGAAGAAGAGCTAAACAAATCTCGAAGACTTGAATCACACAAGGTGTATGACAAAATACAGTAGTCAGAAGAATTAGTTTCCGTTAAAGGATCTCGTAAGTAGCAACCTTCGATGAGTGCACAGACAAACCCAGCCCTGCTGCTTTCCGGGAATTTCAATAAAAGTGAAACTCCGCCGTTTTAAATCTCCCTGCCGTAAGCAAAGAAGGATCCGTACAAGCTATAAAATAACAACCTCAACTGGACAATGAAAAAATATCCTATGAATTGATGCAGTCTAAAAACCGGGTGTACTGAAGCTGTGATGTTACGCAGGCGTCAAAATTTCCAGTTTCTTACCCGTTCAAGACTTTGAAGTTTCTCCAACCTCTCGTAAGTGGACGCCTTTGCTTGGTCCCGTTAATGTCCTCTTATGGGAACTTAAACGTAGTTTAGTCAGTGTTTAACAAAACCGCGTTCTAAGCCACTTTCAATTTGCCCAATGGCTTTCTATAAGCACCATTTATTGTGAATAGTTTTATGAAAGTATATAGAGTATACCAGAAAGGTATTTGTCTTCTTAAAATAACCCACTAAGGAAGAGGCCTGGAGGTTCAAAGATTTGTTAAACCGCAGCTTAAGTTAGACTTCGTTAAATAACCGACCCTAAACGTTTAAAATTGTCCCCACTTTTGTGATGTGGAGACTAATATACTGTATATAACTTGAGTTTGCAAATGAAATCCCAATATGAATCAATTTAAAAAGGTTTATTCTTCGTTTTCGGTGGTTTCTTTCACCTTTATTTTGTTTCCTGGTATTAAGTCTGAGCTTTACTGATGTTTGGCCAAAAGTATTATAACTAGCTTTCTTGCGTTTTTCCTTAGAACAATGCTCTCAAAAATCCGATGTCGTCTTCGTTTTGGACTCGTCAGGCAGTATCAGCCGAAGAAACTTCAAACGAGAATTGCAATTTGTTAAACAAGTGGCGTCCACTTTCAAGATGGGTCCTAAACAATCGCAGATCGCAGTGATCTCATACAGCAACGAAGCACGCGTTGACATCCCTTTTGGCCGCTATTCCAACGTCAATGATTTTAACGCAGCGCTGAATCGCGTGAAACATCAGCGCCAATATACGCGCATCGACAAAGCACTCGATGTAGCGAATACAAGAGTGTTTACCCGCGCTGGGGGTGCAAGAACCGGCGTTGCTAAGGTGATGGTTGTATTGACAGACGGGAAGCAAACCGTGACGTCGGATTCCAAAACGTTAGACGATGCGGTACGTCCGTTGCAAGAAAAGAACGTTACTGTATTCGCTGTTGGTGTTGGGAAGGCTGTTGATATACAGGAGCTACTACTGTTGGTAGGAGATAATGAGGATAACGTATTCTTAGTGGAAGATTTCAGTCAATTGGCCAGGGACAGTCTTCGATTGGCAGCCCAGACCTGCCAGAGAATCAACCTGCCTGTAGGTAAGAGAAAAGC